AATGGATTTCGTTAGTTTCTAGATGTGCAAGTTACTTTTGAGCAATTGAAAATAACGTTACTATTAACTCTTGTGTTAGCTCTCCTGAATTTTTCCAATTCTTTTGTCTTAGAAATAAATGTCTCAAACTTTAGGATTGGTAGGGGCATCCTATTGCCTATTTTTCAAAGAAACTATCTTGTCGAATACAAAAGAATCTCCATACGTTTGAAAGCTTTATGCCATCATTGAGGCTATGATAACATGTTGTCAATATTTAACTTGCCATCATTTTGTTATTCAAATGGATCAACGCACTTGAAACATATACATGATTCAAACCCTAGAACAAAAAGCTTGGCTTCCAAAGGTTATTGACTTTATTTACAAATGCAACAACTGGGCTTTAGCTTTAGCTTTGATCATCCTCACAATTGGGCTCATTTCCTACATTGGGCAAAAATTTGTATAATTCTTCATTTCACACCTCCATGAGGATGACCCCTTTATGGTTGCATAACTATTATAGTCAAAATCTGATCAAGAATAATGAAATAATGAGTGCAATGCTGGTTACGAAACACTTCATAGAGACAACAATAAAGAACGTATGCCATGTAAAAGTTTACATTTACCGATATTACCAAAGATAACACAACCATTGTTATAAGAAGCAATGAGTTAATTAAAAGCACTAAAGAACTTCTACCTAATTGTACAAAATAGTTGAACAAACAGAAGACTAAGATAAGAATAAATATTATTAGATAGTTTAAGCCAACAGGTGTTATTGATAAACAATATGCTCTATTGAATTATCCAAGTGATTAGATTGATTGAGATTATAATCAATGTTCAACAAGTACAAATAATGCATGAGCTTACTCTTGGAAACTATATAAAGAAAACAACACTAACCTCTTTTGTTTTGATCTTCACCTTGATCCTCTCTTCAATATGAAGAAAATCATATTTAATATCAATATGTTTTGTCCCATTGTGCTGCACATGATCTCTACCAACACGTTGCACCCAGACTATCGTAGAAGATTATATATCACCATTAGACCTTTCAACAATATATCCTTATTTCTCATACTATTACAAAATAAGCTTTTTAAGTATGTTATTTCAGGATTTTTAAGTCTGTTTTACGACAGACTTAGATTCGATAGACTTAAATTTTAAGACTGTTGTTGACTGACAAACTTAAATTTTAAGTGTGTTGTTAACCGAAACACTTAAATGTTAAATCTATTATTATCCACTAGGCTTAGACCTTTGTATATTTATAAATAAAAATGAGTGAATTATATTTGTTACTTTTGTAAATTTTATTTGTTTAATCATGAAACAAAAATCTAAAATACAACAAAATTTTCACAATATAATATATATTTCAAATTGTGCAATTCAAGTACATAATATGGTTTCAAAATCAAAATAAGCAATAAGATGTCTAATTTAAAATTTGTAGTCTAAACAAAGTCTAACTTAATCTTTTAAGTTTAAATATAACCTAAACAAAACTTAAATAATAACTAATCAAAACCTAATATTCGCGTTGGAGGAAATAACTTGCCCATTGCCTGTAGACTTCATGCACTAGTTATAAGTGTTTACAATTAATATGTCTACTACCTTGTAAGAAAAAAAAGAAAATTAAATATAATAAATAATAAAATAAAATGAAGAAATATACAATAAAAAAATTAAGATATTTATTTATATGTTTTTTCTTCACAATTATCTTCTTTAGTACTAAAGCTCATATTGTTTTTTCTCATTACTCATTTACCAAGTATTATGTTTCATCTATGAAGAAATAAAAGAAAGGAAAATAAAATAAAAATCCATTGCCTATTATGAATTATGTTTCAAAAGTCATTCCTTTAATGTTGGTACACGAAAGTTGGTTGACAATGTTCTGTCAACGCGTCACCGTTGGTGAGCTGTCGGAGGTCGTTGTTGCCGACTGGATGAGAGATTGAGAGTAAATCATTGGTGCGGAGATGGGCAGAGAGAGAAATGGGAGGACGATAGCACTCTAAAACCTAAAAGAAATTAAAAAGATAAATTTAATTTTTTATTGGGTTAAATATGTTTTTAGTCCCTAAACTATTGGCCGTTTCTGGTTTTCGTTCCTCTTTCAAAGTAAGGTACAATTTGGTCCTCATTCTTTTCGAAACGTTCGTTTTAGTCCTCGGAATTTTGGTTTTAGTCCTCATTTGTTGCTAAATGAGGACCAAATTTTTAAACAGTGTTTAGTTTTCGAGGACTAAAACGAACGTTTTCGAAAAGAATGAGGACCAAATTGTACCTTACTTTGAAACAGGGACGAAAACCAGAAACGACCAATAGTTTAGGGACTAAAAACATATTTAATCCTTTTTTATTTTAAAATTAACATAAATTTAAGTTTGTTAGAAATTTGAACATATGTAAAATTGTAAAATTTAAGTCTGATTCTTTTAAAACCGACTTAAAAGATAAATTTAAATATGCTATTAGATTAACAAATTTAGAATAGTACTTTTTATTTACAAAATTGTCACTGCATATTTTGAGTTTAGTTTTTTTTCTAATAGACTTAAAGGGACACACTTAAAAACCTAGTTTTGCACTAGTGTTACCTTCGCCAATCCGGTGTATTATGCAACCATCATTGGCACGGTGTCCCTGTTAGTTGGATAATAACTTCCCAACTAACCAATGACCCACTTATGATGGTTATATAACCAGTAATGGACTATCTAATGTTCAGGTTCATCACATAGTCTACCTCCGATTAATCATTATATTACATTGGGAGTCACTCTCGAATTCCAATTTCTTTAGTCCCCTTCGAGCATCTTAAGATACTTTTCATTGTCTACTAATGTTCTTTTTCAAGCTTGCTCACATATATGCTTACTAGACAACTACTGACGAAAGGTCTGATCTAGTAAAGTCATGAAATACATCAAACTTGTCACTACACTCGCATAAGGAAGACAAGTCATGTATCATCGATCTGAGCAACATTGAGCTCAGAAAGATGCGCAAATATTGTCAAAGGTATGTCCATGGCTTTAGTATGTTTTTCCTGAAACCTCTTAACACCTTTTGGGTATACTTTCTTTTACACAAAAATAATAGACAACTTGGAGAAATCTTGTATACTTGGATAGCTAGGCATTACTTTTGTGTGCTCGTCTATAAGTCATTAGTGAAAATGATAATATTTATAATTTATCTTTAATAATAGAACCTATTTATGTTTAGTATCAAGTTGTTTTATTTAGGTGAACAAAAACTAAGACAAAAAACGTTGTATTAGTTGACACAAGAAAACTAATACAACGTTGTATTCCTTTGACACAAAACGTTGTATTGTCGTTTTGTTTCTATTACTCTAATAGTAATAGTTGGTTATCTCTTTATAAAAGAAATTATGAACAAGACTTATAAAATCACAAAAAATACACGTACTTGCATCTAATAGACTCTTGCAGAATGTTTTCTAAAATTCATTTTTAAAATTAACTCTATCTTATCCCCTTTTAGAGCAAACTTCTATCTGAACAATGAAATTTGATATCTTCATTTTTGGAATAATGAATATAGTTCAAAATAGGTTTCAAATCCATAATTCCTTCAAGCATGAGTCATCATGGATCCATGAGCAAACAAACATAATGTGAAACAAGTAATAAAACTAAAAAATGGAGTAGAAGAAACGATGAATGCACCACTTGAGTTGAATTTAAGATAAGCTCAAGATAAGAATCACTGCTTGAATTTTTGAAAATCAAGATAAGAATAAAAGAGAAAGCTCTACACTCTTTAAAATTAGAGAAAAAAAAGGTACCATGGTTCTTTATGCAGGGAGTTAGATGTCCAAGCTAATAATAGGTGTTGGAAAACATTTTCTGGATCTGAAAATAACTTTTAAAACACTGGTTTTGAATTTTTTTTATTAGATCCTTTTTATTTCAAAATATATTTTTGAGTTTAAAATATATTTTCAGATCTAAAAATACATTCTAAAATAATAATTCTAGAGGAAGAATGATGGAGATTAGGCAATTAGGGTTTTTAATATAATTTAATCATAGATAGAACAAGATATATGATTTGTTGGGGTCGAAGAAGAAAAACTAGGAGGTGCAGAAGAAGCACACGCATATTTTAATATATTTTACTTTTCCTGTTGGTCATGAACTGGCCCGTTTCCAATTTTTCATAATTTCTAGTTCCTTTTTCCCTTTAGTTTATCCTTGTTGCTTACCAGTTTAGTTTATGTTACCTTAATTTACATTCTTTTAACTGATTTGATAGCTTGTCTTGCTTTTTGACAAACTATTTTTCATTCTTTCACTAAAACCCTCCTAAAAACAAGCTCTTTTGCATTTAATCTATTCATGGCATTGACCTTCTCCCGGACTTGACTTAATCCCTATATTACATTAGTAAAGAGATTAGTTTTGTTTAAGATAATTTATACGACAAAACTTTCACCACTTAATTAATTAATGACAAGGTTAGACAAGTTCATGCATTTAACCATCTCATTAGGAGGAAGTTAACTTTCTTACTATGTGTCAACATCATAAACTCAAAAACATAAAAGAAGGTCTGCACTTACATTAATTTGTTTTTCTTTCTTTAAACTCTTAGATGATATTTGAACTCCTTTTTACTAATAAATAAAGGGGGGTTTCCTATGACTATACACATTTGAATTTGAATGAGAATTAATAATTTGTGAGAATTTTAGTGTCTCTCATGTTCTGAACTTGGGTAAATAGTTCTTGCACTTATCCTTGAAAAGTTTAGGAAGTGTGCTCTATGCCTTTTCTTTTCTTAATCCACTATTTTTCCATTTTACTTTGATATTTTTTTCGTGCTTTGGCTGATCACATGTTAATGTGGAAATGACTTTCGTTCAATTTGATAAATTAGAACAACTTTTTTAATAAACCGAAATTATTTGTCTTTCTTCCATGCTACACAACAAACCAAAAAAACAAGATTGCCACTAATGAAAACACCTCAAAGATGTCATTATTTTTCTAAATTTATTTCTATAATGACATTTTTTAGTACAACTTAAAAACCTTAATGTAACAAAACCCAGTTTCAAACAAGTTTATTGCTAACAAAATACAGCCTCAAGGGTCCATTATCACTATTTGTTCTATTACTAAAATACTACTGGTGATATAGAGAGGCACCATATAACACTGACATACAAATAATTACCTAAGACTCTTGACCCTCAAGACTAGCGAAAAGATAGAGTGCTCGGTGAATCAATCCTTACAATAACATCTTCATCATCGCTTGAATTTACTGCATGACCATGATGATGTTTTCTTTGTTCTGTTCTTTGTGAAGGTGGATTTGTAACTTGTCTTGTGACCTCATGGACCTTCTTAGCAGTTGCAGCTCCTTCTGATTTCACTGAGACAAGTGGACGGTGGGACTCCATGGTTGGATAGGATAGACTATGAGGTTCTCTACCATGATGGCTTGACAAACTTCTACTCCGCCGAGGGATGCGCACCTTCAAAATGACAATTAATTAATGGAAAAATAAAATAAACTAGACCATGTACTGTTGGGGCATAAATAGACAGCTAAAGCATTTAGGATGAATGTTAGCAAGAAAAATAAAGGAGAATGTAGATTCTTCTTGATATTCTTTGTAGAATTGATCCATCAATTTAGAATGTAGAACTGGAAAAACTAAAAAGAGTTATGTTGTAAGAAGCTAATATTATTCTATATTGACATACCATACTCCCATAAATGCTCAGATGCACTGCCCTTGCAGACAAACTATAGGTTTGTCGCTCAATCCCTTCAGATATCTGCTCATTGTTTTTGTGTTTGTAGAAATGTTCGGGCCAACTCATAAGACCACTATGTTTTCGACGGAAAGATCTATGAGGATGATCCCCGGCATGCAGTAACAGTGAACTTGACCTTCTCACAAGAGAAGCATCGGTCTCAGATGCTGGAATGTCAAAAAGAATTACCCTTGCTGTAGTTTCAACTAGATAAATAGATCCTTGATGAGTAAAACTATCTCCCTTGGAACCTGTATCAATTGAAAGTAAAAGTTATTTTCATCCACAATAGTCTATTCAGTTTTTCAGAAGGGAACTGAAACAAAAAAGTGGAGGTGGGGATGGTAATAGCAGCTAGCCTAAGAAAAGGTGTTTCTAGACAACAAACTTCTCGTGTGAAAAACCTTGATTCACCTCTTGTTATTTTATTCATGGAATCAACAATACAATTTATAAACTTATAACCATTGTACTCAAAGCAGACAATAATGGCTATAAACGACTAACTCATTAACTACCTAGACTCCAAGGGCTAGTATATTAACTACCATTGTCCACAAACTTTCTTTACATGCTCCTCCGAGCTACCATCAAGCTTTTTGAGTTGTTCACCTGCTCCACCGAGCTATCTGGTCTGTTCACCTACTCCAACGAGCTATCCTAGCACTCCATTTTCTCCATTGACTTAATTGAGCTATGTAGACACCGCACCAAGCTAATTAAGCTGGCCTCATGTTCCATTGAGTTGTCCAGGCTATCTACATGCTCCACCATGTTGTCTAAGCTATCTACATGTCTTGATGACCTCTCTAACCTACTTGATTGTCTTGTCGAGTTCGTTAGTTTCATGTGCTCGACCTCCGAGCTACATGCCATCATCAACAATGTTGCTTCTTAACATCTTTTGCAAAATGTTTTGACCTTACCACAATCGAAACAGTTGTTTAAGTAACAATACTTTGCATAATGGCCATACTTGCCACACTTGAAGCACTCAACATTTGAGTTTCTCAACTGACCTCCTTTCCATTGACCTTGTCCTCTTTTGAGCCAGTTTTGTTGTGTAGGTTGTTCTTTCTTTTTCAGCTTCAACCACTAGGACCACTTTGTCTACTGCTTCACTATTATCCTCTTACTTGAGTGTTATGAGCCTCTCCCTTCATTTATAGTTGATTAAGTGGCTCTGCCGTCTTCTTCTTTCGCTGCTCATGTGCCTCAAGGGACCGACAAACTCTTCAATTGTGAGAGTTGATATGTCCTTGGGCTCCTTGTGCATTCTCGAAATCGTTTGTCAATGACCTCAAAATCTTCTCCACAACTCGGTTGGCGGGTAGAGTCTCTTTAATTCTACTGTTCGCCATGATTTCAACCCGAGTTATGTACTCAATTACTCCTTCTATCTCCTCCATTGTCATGCTCTCCAACTCACCCCTGAGTGTTTGCAGCTGCACTTGCTTCATTCATCTCCTTTGTACGCCTTCTCTGAAATGTCCAATGCTTCTTTTGAAGATTTTGCACCTGTAATCTTCTTAAAGCTAGACTCATACACAACTTGGTATAGGATGTACAAAGTTGCCTTGTCCTTTGTATGCACTTTTTGCAACACAATCATCTTGGCATTAGACCAATTTGTGGTGTTTTCTAGTTATACATGACCATTTTCCACCACCTCCCAATTTTCTTAAAGAAGAGTCTTCATTTTAAGACTCCAATTGTCATAGTTGACCGACTTTGTCAACTTCAGCAAGGGCACATGTTTGTAAGACTAACTATCTCGTTCTCTCCTTTTCAAACACTCAAACACTCTAGCTCTCTCTAGCTAACTCAAGCTAACTAGCTCTTGATACCACTTTGTAGACAACAAACTTCTCTTGTGAAAAAAGTCGATTCACCTCTTGTTGTTATGTTATTCATACAATCAACAATACAATTTATAGACCTACAATCTTTAACTCTTGTACTTAAAACAGACAAAAATGGCTATAAACGACTAACTCATTAATTACCTAGACTCTAACAACTAGTACATTAACTACCCACAATGACTTATTACCCACAACAGCTAATACATTTAAGTTTATAACAAACCCAACAATGTTGATCATATACGAGTTGAAAATAAGACTTATTTTATTATTTGTAATAATCTAGTTTTTCTAAAACAGGAAATAGGGAAACTAGGAAAACTAGGAAAAATAAAATAAAATAAAAGATTATGTATCTATTTCTTCTAATTAGGAAGATTCTAAAGATATTATCTCAAATTACAACACTCCCCCTCAACTTGGTAAATGAATATCAATTATTCCCAACTTGCCTACAAGATCTTGAAATCTACCCGGAGGAAGCCCTTTTGTAAAAATATTTGTTATTTGAAGTTTTTTAGGAACATGAGTTGTAATCACAAAGCCTCTGTCAAGATTATCTTTGATGAATCTGTTAATTTCAATGTGTTTGGTTCTGTCATGCTGTACTGAATTATGGGCTATGCTCATAGCAGACTTATTTTCATAGTGTAGTTGCACCTGGTTCTCCACTTTGACTTTAAGATCATCCAAAATTATTTTCATCCAGAGTCCTTCACACATTCCTTGAGTAAGGGCTCGAAATTCAGCTTCTGCACTAGAACAAGATTCTCTATCTTGCTTTTTGCTTCTCCATGTTACCAAACTATCTCCAAGAAATACACAATACCTAGAAGTAGATTTTCTGTCAGTAATAGAACCTGCATAGTCAACATCAGTATATATCTTCATAGTCAATGTGTCTTCTCTTTTGAATAATAGTCCCTTTCCTGGACTTGACTTCAAGTATTGGAGAATTTTGTCAACTGCTTGCATATGTGATTGACTCACTACACTAACTGCATAAGCAATGTCTGGTCTTGTGTGATAGATAAATCAATTTTCCCACCAATCTCTGATATTGGGCCTTTTCTACAGGAGCACTTTCTTCACTTCCTATTTTATGATTCTGTTCTATAGGAACTGTTGAGGTTCTGCATCCCAGCTTTCCTGTTTGTTTGAGGAGATCAAGTACATATTTCCTTTGGGAGATGAAAATTACATTCTTGGTGTAGGCAACCTCTATTCCAATAAAATATTTGAGTTTTCGTAGGTCTTTCATTTCAAATAGAGCTGCCAATTTTTCTGTTTCATCATCTCCTGCAATAATCATGTCATCCACATAGACAAGCAATAGAGTGAGTTTACCTGTAGAAGAGTGCTTTATGAATATAGTATGATCTCCTTGGCTTTGTCTGTATCTCAAGGAAACCATTGCTTTTGTAAATCTTCCAAATCATGCTCTAGGAGATTGCTTAAGACCATACAATGCTTTCTTCAAGAGGCATACCTTGTTTCTTTCATTTTTCACTTCAAAACCTGGGGGAATCTCCATGTACACTTCCTCATCTAGATTTCCATGAAGAAAGGCATTCTTCACATCCAGCTGGTGTAAGTCCCATCCAAAATGGGCAGCCAAAGCGAGAATAACTCGAATTGTATTCATCTTTGCCACTTGGGCAAATGTCTCCTCATAATCAATCCCATATGTTTGGGTATATCCTTTTGCCACCAATCTAGCTTTATATCTTTCTTTTGTTCCATCTGCTTTATGTTTCATTGTGAATATCCATTTACACCCTACTGCCTTCTTGTCTCTTGGCTTATCAACAATCTCCCAAGTTGAATTTCTTTCTAGTGCATTCATCTCTTCTTTCATGGCTTGATTCCAATGTTCAAGTTTCATGGCCTCCTAGATTGAGGTAGGAATTTTTGTGACATCAATGGCAACAATAAAACTTCTGTGCTTATCAGAGACATTGTTAGTGCAAACATACTGAGAAATAGGATATTTAGCACATGATCTTCTTCCCTTTCTCAATGCAATGGGTAAATTCTCAGTAATACTTACGGGATAATCCTCAGTAATACTTACCTCCTCCTCATTGATATCTTCAGGGATCCTCACCTCCGGAGTAGACAATTTTTCTTCCTCGAGAGTCGAAGTGGGTTGTTCTCTTCTTTCATATTTTTTGCCAAAAAATTTGTCTTCTTCCTCACTGTGGATTATGGTAGCTTCATTGCTCAAGTCTTGGGCATCCTAGAAAGACAAACATGGTAATGACAAGAAGGAGAGTTCATCCACTTCAAGTGGTTTCTCCCCCTGAAGTGGTGGACTGACATAAAAGGATTGTGTTTCATGAAAGGTGACATCCATGGTGATAAAGACGCGACGACTCTGAGGATGATAACATTTGTACCCTTTTTTATTAGAAGGATACCCAATAAAGACACATTTAAGAGCTCTCGGATCTAATTTACCACGGTTAGGATGATGAGAGTGAACAAAAACAACATATCTAAAGACTCGACTAGGTAGACTCGTTAGTAGGGAACAAGAAGGAAGAAAAGACAATAGAGACTCTATAGGACTAATGCCATTTAAGATAAGAGTGGGTAACCTGTTGATGAGATATGTGGCAGTTAACACAGCTTCTCCCCAGTAATTTTTTGGAACAGACATTTGAGAAAGAAGAGCTCTAGTTATTTCTAGAAGATGACGATTCTTTCTTTCTGCAACCCCATTTTGTTGAGGGGTGTTAACACAAGTTGAGAAATTCATGATTCACATATTCAGTACCATTATCAGACCTGATTCTTTTGATATTTTTTCTAAATTGATTTTGGACAAGACGGAAAAAATTAACAAAAATTCAAAAAACTTCGGATTTATTTTTCATAAGGTATGTCCACGTGACACGGGTACAATCGTCAATAAAGGTAACAAACCATTTGGCTCCGGAAATAGAATTTATGACAGGACCCCAAACATCAGAGTGAATTAAATCAAATGGAGAAATACTCTTTGTGTGACTAATATGATAAGATGCACGATGATGTTTTGACAATTGACAAATATCACATTTAAAAGACTCAACAGACTCTTTGGTAAACAAGTGTGGAAACAATGACTTGATAAGACTAAATGAAGGATGCCCAAGCCTTTGATGATGTAACCATATTTGAGTTTTTGCCCACTTCTTAGATGTAGCTTGTTGACTCATGATTTTTGTTTTGCTTTGGTCATTAAGCACTAAAAAATACAACCCACTCTGCTCCTTAGCCGTTAAAATTGTCTTTCCCGTGGCAAGGTCCTGAAAAACACAATAAGCTGGAAAAAATGTTACTGAACAATTTAAATGCTGTGAGTTTTTGCATAGAGATAAGACTATTAGCTAATTGAGGAACATGTAAAACATCCTTTAATACAATAGATGAGTCCAAAATTATATTCCTAGAGCTACATATAGGTATACCCTGACCATTCGCAACTATAATAAGTTGTTCTTTATTTCTTTTACCATATGAGTCAAGGACACACTGAAAGGTGTCATATGATCAGTTGCTCCCGAATCAAGGATCCAAATACCTTGAGACACATGATCAACAGTATTGAGGCAAATCTTACCTTTTATGGACAGAGTACATGATCCAAAAGACTTACTCATTGATTCATCCATTACTTTCAAAGGAATAATTTTTACTTCAGACATCCCGTAAAACGCAACCAGAAGTCTCCAAGACGATGACGGCGTATGAGTCATTGAGAAAAAAAGGAGCAGAACTTAAAACTCAAATCTACTCAAATATAGGCCAAACGGGTCGTCATCGACCCTAGGAATAGACTCAGGGGGCTCCGATGACGGCGAGTGGGTCTCGCCAAAGGTGGGCGCATGGGCTACACGAGCCGGCGACGGTGGCAGCGCGTGGCGGCGCGTGGAGGCTCCTCTCACGGAGTGACTTCCGGCGTTGTGATCGCCGGTGTTGGGCGCACATTTCTGCCTTATCAACGACCCCAACCGGCGACAGCGGCAGCAGTGGTGGTCGGACAGCGGCGGCGGTGCGACTTGTTGCAGCGAAATTGAGCCCCAAGTTCAGGAGCTTTGACATCAAGTTGAAAATAAGACTTATTTTATTATTCTCAAATCATAAAAAATACATTCTCATACCCTCTATTTGTAATAATCTAGTTCTCCTAAAAAGGGAAATAGGGAAACTAGGAAAACTAGAAAAAATAAAATAAAATAAAAGATTATGTATCTATTTCCTCTAATTAGGAAGATTCTAAAGATATTATCTCAAATTACAACATTATGAATAAATATTACATGATGAAATGCTAGCAAACATAAATTTAAAAAGTTCAGAGTTCTAGAATAAATATATCTTTTTATGAGGCTTCTTTGATGAAATTTACAGTGGATTTTCTTGATTCTGGTCTTGAATGAGCTAGCATTCTTAATTGAGAGCTGTGCATGGGAAATTACTCAACGTTTCATATTTCCAGTCATCAACTTGACTTGTTATCAAGAAGAATGTTGGTGATAATTGAAAATTCTCCTCGGCATATTGGTGATGGTCAAAGGGTCATTTACGCAGGAAGTTGGAGGCTAAGGTAGCAGACTTTATATCAAATAGATTGTGGCCCATACCTGATGATATTAGTTCTAAAGATCTGGCTCTCACTGTTGCAATCTATGATTTAGTCTTACCTACGTTTGATATTGAGGATGAGCTTAAATGGAATGTTTCTGTGGATGGTACTCTTGGTCTTAAAATTGCTTGGAATTTTCTTTTGCATCAGCTTAATACAATGAATGGGCTATCACGGTTTGGAGCAAATTTATTCTTCCCACCTGCATCTTTTCTTGGTTAGCGTATTTTTCATAATTGGTTGTCATCAGATGATAACTTGATCATGTGTTGCATGACCATTGTTTCTTGCTGTCGTCTTTGTAGTGCTGCTGTTGAAACTGCAAAGCACCTGTTTTTTTAATGCATTTTTGCAAGATGTCTCTGCGCCTGACTTAAGATCTTTTCAGTCACATTGTTGCTGATTCTATCTCTTCAATTCTTCATGTCATGCAAAGATCCTGGAGCACTCGGGCCAAAACAATACATGCTTCTTTACTTGGTGTTACGAAAATTTATGGACAATTAGGAACTTCTGTTTTGATAATCATACAAGAGAAATAAAAACATGATTTATGTTGAGGTCAATCAAACTGGGAATTTTTGTATGGTAGTAAAACCAGAAAATCAGCATCTTCTTAGATGAAAATAGATTTATCATCCAGCTTAGTTATGCTATATGCACGTGAATTCTGCCTCCATGTGATAGGATAGGATATGTAATTAGACAGTTTGCAGACAGATTTTAGATAGTTTGGCAGAAATAAAACGTTGAAGTTAGTATGAAGTGGTTAAGGGGTAGTTAGGAGGAGTTTAAACAGCAATTAGGGGAAGGTTTAATTAGTAGTTAGACAGTTTTTGTCTTTTAAGGAGGGTGGTGATCTTGTTCTGGTTGTTGAGTGTTTTATTTCTGAACAGGGACTGTCCTGTGTAGAAGGGAATGTTTTCCCTTGGATGTTGTTGAATGTTTTCTGTATTTTTCATTCAATAAACTGCTGACTCACAGTGAGGTTTCTTGTCTCTGTTTGCGATTGTTTATTTTGTGATAGAATTTAGGTTTCTTGTCACCAAGAAAGCTAACAGTTTCCTTGTTCACTGACCTTCTGTCCAATGGAAACTCAAGTAAAAAGTATTTGAAACAAAATATTTTACAGACAGCTTTAACTTGAGATAAAATACCTGATCCTGCCAAATTTTGGAAGCTTAGATTCCCGGATGAAGGAAGCAGCGCTGCTGGTGCTGTTATGAGTTCTTGACGACCTTGAGCTTTTACATATCCTTCTAGTAAGAGGGCAACTGAATGATGAGGGATTTCTATTGTTTCCCCTCTTATGAATATGGTCATCCTAGATCTCTCTGGATCTGCAATAAGAGCTCTTAAATCTTGCATAGCCAGTTTCCCAAATATCTGAGGAACCAATAGTTTGGAAAGGAAAATAGCACTTTCCTGCAAATCAAGATGAGCACAGTGTTTGATTATGACAACAACTCTCAAACATATCCATTTTCAATGCAAGTAATTACACCATCCACCATTTTCTATGTCTTAATAGGCACCAAGCATATCTAATATCTTTATGAACTATGATACTGTTAATAAACAGCATATCTTAAAAATACATATTTGAAACTGAAAAACTGAATTCCTGTAAGGCTGAAGGGATTTAATGAAATTTATACACAATGCTAGCCGGAGTTTTAGAATGTAGTCACCAAAGCACTCAGAAGTCATCAATGTCAAAGCAGAAGTTGCAACAATGAACTATTAGTGTAACCATACCTCCCACAGGAAGTTTTCTGTTGAAGGATCTGATTTGAGACATGATATTATCTTGCCAGCTTCAAGAAAAATGCAGAATACTACAGAATCTGTGATGACATCACAGATATATGGTCTTCCAGTCAGCACTTCATAAAGACCCAATGTACTCCCATGAGTAAAAGTAGGATAAAATGAGTGTTTGGTTGGTGTCACCTTGCTTTCCCACTAGAAAAAAGCAATTTTTAAAATATAAATCTTTTGTGTACAAAAGGAGATGTGTTAACCTTGATGATGAGAGAATTTAATACCTTCACTACTCCATTACAAATTAACCAAATACCATTTGACTTTGCACCTTCCTTGTAAAGTGTCACACCACGGAATTTCATCATTTCCTTGGTACAGTTGGCAAGTGATTCACGAACCGAAGATGGGAGAGCACCCAACATAGGATGTATGCTACTTATTTTAGGAAGCTTAACCAAAGGAGGATTTCTAAGTAATTTCTTCAAATCAGTCTGAAAAATAAAGGGAATTAATTAGTGCCAATTATACTTCATGCAAAAGCAAACCATTAGATAACAAATGAATATCACAAGACACCTGGACAGCATCATGGAGATGTAGCATCTCTTTCTCTTCCAATATCCCAGTCTTCTCAAGGTTTTGAACATATTCAATTAAATTATGTAGCACTGCATATGTAACTTGCCTTGTTTTTACAACACGCAGAACCTAATAATTTGACATTCAGAGTACAAAATAAAGAGTATTTAGAAAAAAACACATTTGAACACCATAACCACAAAATGATGCTCAACAAACTGATTAACAGATAAAATAGCAATTAATTTGACACTGACAGACTGAAACCAAGCAGTCCATTAAAACAAAATTAGAAAAAAAACTAGAGTACAAGTTTAGCTAGCAAACCTGAGGGTATGTCACATTAACATCTTCTAGGAACTTCCGTGCTTCTTCTCCTTCTACAACACTTTCATTGATGACAGCAGAAGCAATATCGCTGTCACCTAGAGAAGAGTATACGCAGAGGAAATAAATATAAATGATCCTAAGTACAATTAAAAATGTTATCTGACCAACACAAAAGCTTAAGATAGAAACAAGTAAATAACTATAAAATTGTGCCAACTGAGGACATAAAATATGACATCATGAGGTAGGAAGCACTGAATCATTGATAAGGGAAAAACATTAAGTATTAAAGGAGTATCTGAAAATCACTATAAAACATCAAGTCCAGTGCATTTGGATACCTATATCCAATGAGTATCAAATCATGTTATTTTTAAATCAGACAACTTTTGATACACATGGAGTAGGGCTTGAGTTGGCATGATATGGCTTTGATATTCAGCCAACACGACATAGGCTGATGGAGCACCTAAGAGCACCTAAAACCAGACTGTTTATTTCAATTCTAGTGTAAAACAGTTAGAAAAGGAAGCATAAAACAGCTCTGCAAGGATTTAGCACTATTGACAAAGGAAGGATTTAGCACTATTAACAGCTTTGTATGGGAACATGATGTTTTCAGCACTATTATGTTATTTTGTTCATATTTCCTACATTTATTTAACTTACAATGGTAATTTCTAAAATAAATTTGTTGGTAGGACAACTTAGTATGACAATATTCTGGTGATTGTGACATTATGTTTTTTTAGATTGTTTATACATATATTCTATTTATTTATTTGGTTTATGTATCATCCATACGTCCACACACGGATGTGTATGCACATAACAATCAAAGGAAGGATTGGTTGTCATAAGGAGTATAAGGGAGTGATTGAGAAACATGTTGGTGATGGGATTGGAAGAATGGATTATGCCCTGATAGTGATGAAGCTTTCTGAGGAAAATGGTATGGCGAAGATGGTGAAACACAACATGGCCATATTCCTTCCTAAGGTTGTCACCTTGGAACGTATAACAAAGAGTGTCACACACATAAGAATAAGTGCCCCTAGAGACTGCAAGGCCTTAATAGCATGATACCAAAAAGGAGAAACATTTGGATAGACAAAAGTGGCGGAGCTTCAACTAAAATAGTGAGGGAACCAAAATATAATTTAATACTTCATAAAATTTATATCAAAATAAATGATAAAAAGAATAATTTCATAGTAAGTTATTTTGTTATAGGAGAAAGAGATGATTAAATAAAGGATATATATAGTTTGTTATATCTGTTATTGTTAGTTGGAAATCTTTTATATTTTTACTATAGTTTATTAAGGAAATATATTCCTTTATATAGTGTCTTGGTGATACCAGGTAGGGGTTAAAAAATTTGATTGTGCAAACTTGTGATTCTACTGTAGAAAAGGAGAGGGATCCTTTAAGGGTAAAATTGATTACCATGTTCGCTTAGCTTGTTTCTTGAAGAAATAAAGAAGTATTTCAGTGTAATTGTTTTAAGAAAAGGAAGGGTGTTCTTATTTTCAAGCTATAGTTTGGCAAATCAAGAAGTGAATCCTAACAGTTTTCAACATTTCTCTTTAAGAAATAAGTTAACACAGCTACTAAGGACAAAAAACAAAATGGAAAAGACATGAAGTAAAAAGAAAGAAAAGTTGAAAACTGGCAATAATAGTATTAGGATAAATAGACAAATTAATGAGGTAGAGTTGTACCTATGAAGTCATGTAATTGTTGTCGAGCAATTCTGTGAGCACGAAGAAATGCAGCACAAATATAACATGCAGATTCCAACCTTTGTACAGTGAAGTATGTCACTAGCTTCGGTGGGAACATATTGGACTGTAGAAACTTGTAGTAACTTGGGAAGTGAACGTTAGATTTTAAACCTTTCCAGTCGCATAGAGACTCAGATGAAGCCAAATCTATGGCTTCCTCTACGGATAACATTAGGACATTAGCTGTTGTTTGAGAAATCCTTCCTTCCTCAAGCATCTCCCAGTAAGCAGCTTGTACACCTAATGAGTAATAAGTTCTAAAATTAGGCATGATATTGGCAAAATCGAACAAGCCAAAATCAATAGTAAAATCAGGGCTCATCAGAGGACTTAGCCAACAAGAGACTACCAAAGATTAACTTATTTTAGAATGTATTTCTCTGCAAATGCACATGCCTGTCAAAGATTTACTAAGTCACTATGAGTTAAAGCAACCTTTGTAAAGAAATTGCATATACATACACCATCAAGAAAACAATAGTTGCATCTTCTTAACTTAGGCCTCTAGGCGAACACACAATCAGCATCAATAATTGTAAATGCTATCACATCATAACAAATACAGTAGTTATAACAAATAATGTAATGCGTGTCAGCTACATGGATGATGGATCACACATTGTCATTAAACTCAGTTAAAAACTGAATTCTCATAGACATCGATTTTATTATAATATTTTCCTTCAATGCCTTTCTTGATCTCTCCACCCGTTCCCACAGGTTTAAAAATCACGTCATCTACTCTCTTGATGACAAATCCATCCAGCAAAATTGAAGTTGATCATATTCAGGCTTTTATTTGCAGAGACTTGTTGCTAGAAAATTAAATATTAACCAAAAGGTGATTTCTAATAGAAAAAACGTCCACGAATATGGATCAAGCTCTAACCCTAACCTTCACTGCATCTGTACATGCCACTAAACTGAAAGTAAAAAAGTAACACAAGACGAGCTGCTGAAAAGCTAATAGCAAGCATAGAATTGAACAAGTTTGAAAAAAATTCTTACATATAATGTGCAACATAAATCTATAAAAATCTTTAAAAATTGAAAAGGCTTCAAGCATGATCCCCCCAAAAGAATACTTGTCCTTACAGACACAAGATGTCTTATAATTATGTGTCTTTTACTTTTAACTTAAAAATTAATGGATTGTAAGAATTTAAGATGTTTGAAGCAGTTAAACAAACAGAAAAATAAGGTACAGACCTTATAAAGTTTCTATTGTAAAAGATGTAACAAACAATGAAATACTATCATTTTCATTGTAAATGTTCCCATACCATTCAGTAGTCGTACTCGTATATCTTTCAAGTTCATAGGATCTAGGTGACTATCATTTTCAGTTGCACCATGAGGGTGAACACGTTCACCTTCAATGTCATTTAAGCAAGAGATGTATCTCTTCACTGTGGGCCAGTCAGCAGGCCCAAGTTCCTCATCATCTCCAAGTTCACTGAAAGCCTCCAATGCCTTGTCCAACATTTCATGCTTTGTAAAGTCAAGGATACGTCTCTGTTATTAAATGTGTAAAGTATGAGGATCATACAAAATATAAGTTAGAAGAAGAGAAGAGGTGATATAGAGATATTTTTCATTTGGAATCAATTTATACAAATTTAAAAGCTTTCCTCTGTTCCTCACAATTTACATTTATTTGTGTTTGTAGTTATGTAACCTTCCAATAGTGGCTATGAAGCCCATTTACTCTAAAAACCATTAGGAGATAATATTTACCTGCAAAATAAACTTGACAGCACTGCTTCAGTTTATAAGCTTCCTTCGCTCACTAGTTTATTTTTAATGTTTCTTATTGATACTTTCTATGTTATTGGAACAACAAATGCAAATAAATCTTCACTGCTATGTATCTAACCAAAGTATATGGATAAGATATTTTTCAAGGTACTTTCTTAGATTTGTGTGTGTGTGTGTGAGAGAGAGAGAGAGAGAGACCAACAATTAGGATAAAACCTGAGACATTAGTGAATTACATAAAGTACGAGATATCAAAACATTTCATCTCTCAAAACTAGTACATAAGTTGAACATAGAAGATGAGGAAAATTCTAACCTTAGCTGCTGATAAACTATCCATGCCAAGGTAACGTAACATGAGTTGTGTGGTTGACCCATTTACTATAAGGGTTAAAAACACAGTTCCACCAGTGAAGAAAACAAACTATACAATAAAAAAAAAAAATTGAGTCAATTCACAAAGACAATTAAGTTATCAAGGATTTCTGGTTGTGATGACCTAGAAAAATCTTAGAAGAGTCATGCATTTGAAACTTGAACGCTAAACCAATAAAAAATTTACATTAATCATAAATTGGAAATCATACCAGTGTTCCTGTCTCCGGAGTCAACTCAATTGATTTTCCACTTGAACGCTAAACCAATAAAAAATTTAATAAATAGAAAGTTTAATTTCAAACATATGGACATGCATGTTGATGATAGCCACATATAGAATGCTTTTTCCTTAACTTTCTTAACACACATTATTAAGCATAACAATTTCTGTAGAATTTGTTCTGGAGAATAGATAGATATGTATCCTTAAGTTGGTAATTAACTACCATGCATCTTTAAATAGAAAATTTCATTTTGAATTACATTTTGTTAAGAATAATTCCAAGATACTATCTGTGAGGTTTCCGATTGAGAAACCTAACTTTCTCACAATATCCAAACACCCAACACAGAAACAAGAAATAACAAAGGAATAATATGAATTTCACTGTGAATGTATATACTGTAACGTATAACAAACTACCGGAACGGGAGCCTAATCCCCTTTAACAAGGTCCAAGACCTGTTTACACAAAAGTATATGGCTAGCTGCTTTCTAACAATGAATAGAACTTTATTTATATAAGCTCTCCCATCCCGCCTTTCCTAACCGCTCTCTCATTTTACCGCCTTCTATCCTCTTGCCTTAGATCCTATCATTACACTCCGTTGCAAAACAACCTTGTCTTCAAGGTTGGAACCGAAAAGCTTGGTCTCTTGGCTCCTCTTCATCATCTTGTTATCATATGAAGTGAATCAACTGGCTACTGCCCACCAATTCAGGTCTAGAGCCTTAGGTGGTGGCAATTCCTCCTCCACTATCTTCCATTCTTCCTCTTTCCTTCCTATCACCCCCATCTCCCACACCAAGGTCCACGGTTCTACTTCCTTTATTTTTAACAAAGCTTCTGGCTCCCCCCACCTTCTAACTAGTGTTGGATCCCCCTTGCTGAATACCTTATTCCCTCCTTGATTGAACAGCCTAGTCAATACCGTTTGGTTCCATCCTATATTGGTTAACACCGTTCGTTTTCGTCCTATAATGGGCAACACCGTTCGGTTTCATCCTTTAATGGTCAATACCGTTCGGTCCCCTATCGAACCGTGCAACTTCATCAATTTTGGCTGAATAGGGCCTCCCGATCGGCCTCGGACTGCTCGGCTAATCCCGATCGGTCTGGTCTACAGTACTTGGCCTCGTACCGCTCGATAACCGCTCCTCGCGTTCGTCGCCCAGATGAATCGTCTTCTATCCCGCTCCCTTTCCTTACCTTTTCGCCTCCTTGTACATACACTTCCACGTCCCCATCTGTTTCGATGCTTCCAAACGCTCAACAATGGTTCCAAACCTTATCACCAGGGCTTCCTTCAAGCCATCCCAGGAACGATTCTTGGCTTTCTCCTTCCATGCTCTGAACCAATAGCTAGCGCTCCCTCCATACTGATATCGGCTAGGCGCACCTTTTCCTCCTCCAATACCCTTCGTAACTCGAACAATTTCACGATTGATCCAGTTCAGCGGATCGATCCCCTCGAAGACGGGTAGCGCCACCCGTTTCCGCCAGCTGTTTTGCCCCTCAGTATGTTCGCCTTCCCTTCCTCCTTCGTCTTTCATCCTCACCCTCTAATTCTCACTGACGGACGCTTGGCCCCCATCTACGTGTCCATCCTGGTTCCTGTTTCGTCCACCCAGCCTTTGCATGATTTCTTGTAAGTCTTGACGCATCGCGGCCGTTTCTTGTCGTATTTCTTCCATATTTCTTTTGTATTCTGCCATGCTCCTTTCACTGGTCCTCCTCTCCCAGGTATTGTCTCTTCCTTCCATCACAATTATCCTCCCTTCGATTCTATTCTCCCAAGCGGTAGCTTGCCCACCGTCTTGCTCCGCCTTTAATTGGATCCGGCAGGTCGGACCAATTGTTAGGTTTCCGATTGAGAAACCTAACTTTCTCACAATATCCAAACACCCAACAGCACAGAAACAAGAAATAACAAAGGAATAGTATGAATTTCACTGTGAATGTATATACTGTAACGTATAACGAAATACAGAAACGGGAGCCTAATCCCCCTCAACAAGGTCCAAGACCTGTTTATACAAAAGTATATGACTAACTGCTTTCTAATAATGAATAGAACTCTATTTATATAAGCTCTCCCATCCTGCCTTTCCTAACCGCTCTCTCATTTTCCCGCCTTCTATCCTCTTGCCTTAGATCCTATCACTATCCTATGTGTTTGAACTTGTTTCAATAAACAAGTAAAGATAGGAAAAGAAAAGGAAAAAATATATAAAGGCTTAATTGCAGTTTTTTCCCTTTTGGTGACATAAATGTGAGATTTTGATTTCTTAGGTTTTATTGTGCCAATCTAGTCCCTCAAGATTCTTCAATTAACAATCAAGTTCCTCTATCATGATTTGAAATTATCTATTTGCTCAAAATTAAAAGAAATTCAGTTTGCATATCATTTTTATCATATATATATTAATTTATCCACGATAATGGTCAATACAACAATTTAGTGAATACAATTGAAAAAACCTTTCTATGTTAATTTAGTTTAAATATTGTGTGTTTTAAGGTTATACATTGTATTTAGTACAATCATGCATGCGTAGTAAAAGAAGGTGGATCTATAGCTAAAGTGGGATCTTCAACCCACCCTCTCATGTTAAGGACTATACATCTTAAGCATGAGAATAAATATTTATGGGTAGTTTGATAATGGCCCAATAGTAGGTGGGAGAATTGGCCCAACAATCCTTGCTAAGATAAACTTCGATACCATCTTAGGAAATAAGTTTTAAGTCTAAATCAACCGCACAAAAACTTACTAGCAAGATGAGGTTTGCACTCTGTAACATCACAAAAATACAGTCTTAAAACTATATAATAGAATAATCACATTAAATAATAACCCAGATCAGTCTTACACTAAAGTAGAGCGTACGCTCATGGCCGAACGGCCTTACAGTAAGAGTTACAAATTTAAACTGTACAGGATAAGCAAATCTGACCGAACGGTTTACAGAAGAAAATACCGAACGGTCATACTTAACAAAAGGGAAGGTGATCGAACGACCACCTTACTATTACTAGATTACTGACCGAATGTCCTACTGTTCGGTCTTCACTTCAACCTTGACCAGGTTTTCTTCTTCCAACGCCTCTTCCAGCAGCTCGTCTCCTTCTGCTCACATCCACACGGATGATCATTGCAATGACAAGACGAACGTACAAAACAAGACAAGCCAGGAAAACACAGGGTAAGCTTATGTAATTTAATTCATGTAAAAACATTCACACAATCAAACACAAAGATATATTTCATCATACGTTCATACAAAGCTTAATACTAGACTGACTGTCCGGACTGTATGAAATCTGTGTAGCTTAAGGCGTTCGTGCAACCGGGTGATGTAGTAACTGGGATACCCTCAACAGCTGTCTCCCGAGGTTAGTCCTATCTGTCCAAAGTAACCCTAAGGACTAGGACCTCCTGCCGTTCCCACACGTGACCTACCCTCCTCTACGTGAGGACAAGTACTCATGGAACATCAGGATGAACCGCCAGCTTAGCATGCCCACATTCATACTTTACCAATTCCAATATTCATTCATGAGTCGTTCCTCTCCAGAACGCTCGTCCAATAATCCAAACATTTCAATCCACATCACATTCTCTTCATCTTTCATTCATAATCATCTCACTTAACCACCTCGTACAAAGATTCATAAGGATCCCAAATACCGAACGTTCAACACTGATTCAGAACGAGATCGAACGCTTTGAGCGAGACCGAGAGATCTCCAGTTCCAGAACAAAATTAAGACCAAGAGGATTACTATCGGTTTGAGAAAGAAACCGAGTACAATCATATATAACAAGAACGACTAGAACGAACGTTACTTAAAAAGTGAGCCAATTAGATGAACTGACTCTTGAGAGTTCCAACCGAACCCCGAAAAGACCATGCCAAGTACTAAGGCTCTAGGCCGGAACCAATGGATGTAGACACTTCAAGACATTCAAAGAATAATACTTAGAAGAATTCACATTAAGAAACCGAACGCTTATGAAAACTTAGCTTATTTGAGTTTAGTATCAAGAAAACCGAATGTCAGTCAATGACCGAGCACGGTAGAGAGAACTCTATTAAATTTGGACGAACGCTATTTTCATCAATATGTATATTATAGGAAAGAGAATGTGCGCTTGGTGTAAGACCGAGAACTACTCGGTACGAGCACTTGGTGTAAGACCGAGCACTACTAAACATATATTAGAAAGCTTGATAAATAGAATAAGATACTATTGGAGTAGTGTTTAAGAATAACTAAAATATACAAATATATATATATATATATATATTTAAGTTTATCACAGAATACCCAGATACAACTATGCTTGGCCGAACGCTCAAGCATAGTATTACAACGCGAAGACGCTCATTCTCAACAAGGATTCTTCCCGAATGAAAGAATCCAATTCTAACCAAGTTTATTAGCATTACCGAACGATCAATGACCGTTCAGTGACGAACGTACACTATCATAGGGAAATTTCATATGCAGAATTCATATATATTCAACTCATTTTCTTAACATATAGTTTCATAACTTTATACATTCATATCATAATCAATTTTCATACTTCATACAATCCAAACATATCAACCATCATATATTAATTCATTCAAGTCAATGAACGTTCATGCGACACACACACAATCATACAAATTAAATTAATAAGCTTCCCTTACCTCTGAGCGTGACTACAATTCCTTCTACCCTTACGTTCCAAAATTCTTCAAACTACACCAAATAACAGAATACCAACAATGGCTCAGACAAGATGAAATCATGCAACCAAAACTTGGTTTGCATGTACCAGATAACGAACGGCTAAGGACAAGAAGAACTTACCAGTTCAGAACTCGAAACCGTTCGGTTCAAACTGAAGCTCTGGACGCCAGAAAAGCTTCTACGGTGCCTGAACGTGATCGGAGAAACGAAAAGGTGAGATTTGGTAGAGAGAAGGGAGAGCTTTTTAGTGAGAAGAAGGAGAATTTGAGAATATCAGAGTTTGGAGAAGA